TTTTACGGTATTTTTGCTTTAGAAATTCAAGTCCAGTACTTTTTTTCATTCAAAAGGCTAAGACTATAAGAATGTTTTTGAATACCATTAAAAGCATCATGTTAGGACATGAATATCAATAAGCTATATAAAACCATAAATAGTCATAAAACATCACGAAATACCCAGCGAAGCGGCCAGGTAACGTCTAATCGTACTATATAATGCAAATACTGAAAAAAGTAATAGTTCAAATAAATTTTTTTCTCTTTTTATGAGTAAAAGAGAATATTTTGTAAATATATTATGCCTCTCTTTTCATTTACATATAAAGTTCTAATTCAAGCGCAGATTGGAAAGCTATTTGCTGTAAGAAAATTACATAGCTAACGATTCAACAACACAACGCAGCTTGATTCAAGTGAACCATTCACAATTCTTGCGCACATTAAAACACCGAGACGTATCATCAATGCTTGAAAAACATGGTTAGCGAAAAATGTTCTCACACTATTTCAAGGCTTTTGGAGAAGAAAAAAAGCGCCACAAAAAAATCTGAGAAACGATTTCCAAGTAAAAATAAATCAGCTATCTTTCCACGCTAAGCCAACAGATGTGATTGTAAGCAATTATGCGCTTTTGCTGTGCATTTCCTCTGCTGGGTCTTTTAAAGACGCACGTAAATAATAATAATAAATAAAAAAAAAAATGTTTGTTTATTGATTTTTTATCTGTTGAAATGATCTTTCTTAGACGTTTGCAAAAAAATATCTCGTTTTTTTTTAAAAAAAAAAATATATATCGAAGCATTGATAGGAGAATGTTTCGGTAAGCACGGCCAGATAAAATTCCAGCTTTCGGAAAGCAGTGGAGATAATAGGCATTCTCACACTAACTAGAACTCAGAATGCTAGAAAAATAATCATTAAAATCTGAAGAGTTTCGGAGTTTTGTTCTTTTCTTTTCCTCTTACTATTGACAGGAACTGCTCAGCAAGAACAGAAAAGCGCAAATTGTTCATTTTAGAAAATCAAAATCCAAAGCAAATAAATCGAAATTAGGTGAGTACAGCTCTGTTTGGCAAACAAAACAACGTACCGCCTTGTATTTACAGCATCTCGGTTTCTGTTTGAAGTTTTGGCACAAATATAGTTAAATACCCGAAATTGTATTTTCTTTAACTTTATCATATTTGTTATTTGTTCAAAATATCAACGTAATCAAGTAAGATCAAGGCATTCAAAACAGGAGATTTATACTGATATATTTTTCCCCGCGCGTGTATAATATCATATAGGCATTGTTAATGTATTTGAGTTGTATTTTTTTTAAAATAATTGTGTGCGGGAAATGATAAGGGGGTAGGGAAGTTCTAGACAATCTAAGAATGCAAATAAGTTTCGGATATTTATTTCATTTTATTATTTTTTACGTACGGAAAAACCTGGTTAACGCAAGGGGGAGGGGAGTGTTTTCTAGTGTTGTGTTTATATTTACTTTAAAAAGTGCATACTTTCTTAATCAAAACATAAAATAAATGGTTCAGAGACAACTACGCTGCATTGTTAGAAATATCTAGAATATTTTTTTCTTTTTCTAGAAGAAACTAGAGGTATTATTCAGTGCTAACCTGTGTGAAATACTAAAAAAATATGTATATATATATACTTAAAAATACTACTTAAAAATTGTGGATAATCGCTTCTTTACTTTTTTCTGTAATCACCAGAAGTAAAAATTTAAAGTGTAAAGTCATTTTTTCTGCCATATTATTCCAATTTGTACTTTATGATGTACAAAATGATAGTATCTAATATATAGACACATCAAAAGTAAATTTTTAATTATTTAAAATAATTATTATCATGTACAAATGAAATTACCAAAAGTTGAATTATAAATAAATACTTTTCCGTTTCAGAGTTGATATAATTAACCCTGAAATTCCCCATGAAAAATGAAGTACTCATAACTCAAAATATTTTAATTTGGTACATATTCAGAGATGTCTTGAGGCCCTGGACCCCAACGCAAAAGTAGACCCCATCTGCGACCTTTTTAAAAAGACAGCATACAACATACATTTTCAAATGCTCGTGTTGTTGTTTCTCATGCCACCTGATCGACGGTGCCATATCGAGGCATTCATCGTTTACGTCTGTCGTCATCCGCAGCTTTGAGCATCACACAGAAAAATATTCGTACAAATGAGAACCCGTAACAAACAAACGTGCTTGATTCACTGTCTCATAAACCTAGGCACAAACTGACTAGACCGACTGCCGCTTTTCTACTAAATGGATGGTGATGTTGTGTAGTAATAGGTCTAAGCCTTAACATGGACGGCGGATTTGACATAATAATGCCGTTTTGCCACTGCTGCCAGTTGGCGTTTAGACTAAAATGTCCAGTTTTTTTGGAGAATATGTCCAGGAATAATATTTGCCGATTAAAATTATTTCGATATGATCTTATTGAAGCTGAGTCGAGAACGAGACGACCCCCATCTCCTTTCGAAATCGAGGCCTTGGTCCCAGTTGGCCCATGCCTTAGAATGGCTTTGTATGCATGCTGCCACTAAAGAAACGCCAGAAGAGGCCGACGCACGTTAAATCTGTCAAGGCTCTATGTCCTCCAGTTTATGTGGTAATTAGGAGAGGGTATACCAGTTCAGGTGTCTTCCTTATCCCTTGACCGAGGTTCAAAATTACGAAGTCC